CCCTCCTCCACCCTCACCTTCCCACTGGTGGAGGTGTTTGTCCTTGAGATGTTGAATAAAAGAGGATATTTAGAAGTGGTACAGGGAGAGAGGAGGGGGAGGAGGAGATTCATAGTTGTGAAAAAAAAAAAAAACTAAGAGAGGACGGTGTGTGTGTGTGTGTGTGTGTGTGTGTTTCCCTGCAGCTTCTTCCTCTGCTCTGAAAATGAAACACCTTGGTCCAGAAATGAGTGTTAAAATATTCTACATCTTGATCATCATCAACCAGGAGCAGCTCACAGACAGAGAGAAAGAGGAGGAGAGGAAGAAGAGGAGGAGGAGGAGAAGAAGAGGGGAGGAGGAGGAGGGGGGAGGAGAGGAAGAGGGGAGGAGGAGGAGGGGGGAGGAGAAGAAGAGGGGAGGAGGAGGAGGGGGGAGGAGAAGAAGAGGGGAGGAGGAGGAGGGGGGAGGAGAGGAAGAGGGGAGGAGGAGGAGGGGGGAGGAGAGGAAGAGGGGAGGAGGAGGAGGGGGGAGGAGAAGAAGAGGGGAGGAGGAGGAGGGGGGAGGAGAGGAGCCCACTGGGTTCTGTAGGAGACCATGACGTGGTCCTTCACTGTCAGCCCTGTAATTAATCTGTCAGCAGACAAACAACTGACCAACACACACACACACACACTAATGGCAGTGTGTGACAGTCGACGTCTGTGTTTTTCCACCATGAGTTAAAGACTTAATTGTAGCGTCTGGTGGCAGCTAATGGCTAACTGTCGTCACCTCCGTGTGGCCGCTGACGGTGATGCTAATGAAGGTTGTCTTATTATTGAAAAAACACCTTTATCTTTTAACTCATTTTGAAAACACAATGACCTGATCAGTGGTCTTTTCACCACCAGGGGGCAGCATCACAGCTTCCGAGAGACCCCATAAATGTGAGTCTATCAGGAATCCAGCTACACGTTAGCCCAGAGTGAACTGACCGTTAGCCTGGATCTCCACAGGGACGTCTAAGGAAACGAGTGGACGACAGAGTCAAAAGTCGCTAGACACAGGAAGTGACATCAGACTGACCTCTCCAGAGAAGGCCTGTCCATTCAGCAGATGTTCTGATCCCTGACCGTCCTCACTGCCAAAGTGCAGCCTGATCTCCTCCAGACGGTGGCTGTAGGTCATGGGACCTCCGGAGATGTTGACCAGATGTTCTTTGTCCAGGCGCAGGGACACGTGTCGACCCGTGTTGTACATGGTTCCTCCCACCTGAGACGGAAACAGAACGACAAGAAGAAGGACGAGGTCAGAACCCGAGGCAGACCGCTGCAGAACTAACCCATCAAAGTCCGATTCAGTCCATCGATCTTTAACTCAACTCCTCATTTGTCACATGATTAAAAACCAATGTCTTTATTTCAGGAGGGACGTGAACTCATTAGAGTGAGGCAGAGTCGATCGACACTTCAGGATTTATTGATCCAGAACAGAGCACACGGGTCGGGTCCAACAGTGGATTAATTAATCCAGAAAGATTTTATCTGACGTTAAATCCTCTCACTGCTGCTAACTCCAAACCTCCGAGAAAATCAGGGATTTTAGTTCAGACCAAAGTCCAAGACCAAAGTCCATAGAGAAAATCAGGGATTTTAGTTCAGACCAAAGTCCATAGAGAAAATCAGGGATTTTAGTTCAGACCAAAGTCAATAGAGAAAATCAGTGATTTTTAGTTCAGACCAAAGTCCAAGACCAAAGTCCATAGAGAAAATCAGGGATTTTAGTTCAGACCAAAGTCCAAGACCAAAGTCCATAGAGAAAATCAGTGATTTTTAGTTCAGACCAAAGTCCAAGACCAAAGTCCATAGAGAAAATCAGGGATTTTAGTTCAGACCAAAGTCCATAGAGAAAATCAGTGATTTTAGTTCAGACCAATGGTCTGTGACACAAACATGTTGTGACCACAGGAAGTGTCTGAGTCTGGTGCTCTGGTTGACAGTTTCACCTTCACTCATTTATTTTTCTCCTCCGTTTCCTTTATTTATTCTTTTTAAAATCTTTTAATTTTTTTTTATTTATTCTAATCTGTGCTCCTCCTCCTCCTCCTCCTCCTCCTACCCTTGAACCAATGTATTTTTTAAAACTTCAGGGATAAAATATTTACAGTGTGTTTGGGCAGAAAGAAAGCTGAAAATATAGAGCAGCAGTACAACAGACAAACGGAGAAGGAGAAAAGAGGAGGAGGTGGCGACGGTTTCTGAAAGCAGGAGGTAAACACTGGCTGATAAGAGCTATGGCCTGAATATCAAGGTTTCTTCACAAAGAGCTCCAGGTGAAAACAAAATTAAAATAAATAAATGAACAAAGTGTCTGAGATAAACATCTTCATCCTGCTCTGGATTTTAATTCAAGGTTTCAGAGCAGACAGAAGCTTGAAGAACATTTGGTTTTTTTTATTTTCCTCTCCAACCAGAGGGCCTTCACTGACTAACTCACCCACTGACTAACTCACTGACTCACCCACTAACTCACCCACTGACTCACCAATTAACCCACTGACTCACCCACTGACTAGCTGTTACCCCGGGCAGATCCAGACTACTGCAGCAGCTCTGGTTTGATGGAAACAGGAACAACCTTCAATATTTGATGCTGTTGTCCACCGTGGCTGTTGTTGTGCTCACAGTCAGTACTACAGACTACAGACATCAGAACCAGCCCGGAGCCGCGGGCTGCAGCTGTGCAGACCAAAGTAATCGATGCCAGAGGCAGAGATTTGCTGTGAGAGCTAATATTGATTCGACAGTGAGGTCTTCAGGAGGTACTTTTTGTGAAGCTGCTGAGTCGGTCAGTAACAGGATGTTTGTTAATGCACAATTACACCGAGACAACAGTGACCTCTGACCTCCAGGAGAGACAGCACAAATGTCTTTAATGAGCCGATCACAGAACTGATTCGTTTACTTTACTTATTAGGCATGAAGCAAAGTTAAAATTGTTGGCTGAAACTAACGCTGAAAACCAAACAAAATCAAGGCACTGTGATTGGATAAAAATTAATATCAATGTGTCAAAGAATAAAACGTAGTGCATCTAACTGCTGGATCATTTCTCGTGCTCGCTGCTTTATTCCTGCATCCATGTAATGATCTTTATGACGCGGATCAAGTACAGTTTTGTATTCAGCGTTACACGGTTCACAAACGCTAACCCTGGGTCTTTCTCAGATGTATTGACTGCGTCCACACCACAGAGACGTGTTGGTAAATCAGTGGTTTTTGGTTGCGTCATCATAACTTCCTGTTTCGACCGTTTTGGTTCAGTGATAAAAGTCTTTCGGATGAAAACTGAAAATGCACTTTTAGTCCAAAAGTTTTCAGTGAGAGAAAGAATCTTAAGGTTAGCTCCAGTAGAAACTCCTGAGGCTGGAGACACAGAAGACACAGAAGACACAGAAGACACAGAAGACACAGAAGAGAGGAGTTGGTGTTTGTTCAGAGGAGGAGGAGGAACAAATAAAACTCTCTTCTCCTCTGACCGACTCTCTGCTCTAGGCCGACGAAGAACTAAAAAGTCTGATCCGCTGTGGACTGGACATGGAGACCTTCTGGTCCTGGTTCCATCTAGACCCACTTCAGTCCTGTCCGTTACCAACATCCACAGAAGGAAGACAGCTGGTCTCTGGGCTGTGATGTCGACGTGCTCTCACCACACAGCCAGACCTGAAGAAACATCTAGAACGTGGAGTTGATCTGAGTCTGAGCCACGTCCTTCAGATCGCTCTTAAATGGATGGTTTTTTTCCTCTCACTTGTTTTTTCGGCGCAAATAGAAAAGAGAGAAAAAAGCCGGTGGTTGATAAGAGCAGGTTAGAAAAGATCGGAGCGGCAGCTCCTCTGTTAGTCGGGGGAGGGAGGGGTGTGATGGTTAGAGAAGGTCGGCGCAGTCTCTTTTCTCTGTCGTCCACAGACCTTGGTCTCTGTTGACAGATTTCTCTTCTTCTCTCTGCTACATTTCCACTTCCAGTCTCTGTGCTAAATGGAAAAGTTTCTGACGGTGAGTTTTTCTCACAGACAGACGAGGGAAATAAACAGACACGGTCGGAGTCTAAACATTTACTGTGCGGCCCCCTGTGGGACCCTGACCCTGAGATTTAGAACTCCTCAGCTGAGTTGTTGAGGACAGCAGCCCAACAAACAACCCCCAGACTCCTGGAGCTCCAACTGTCTCTTCTCTATGGACTTTGGTTCAAACTCTCCCTGTGGCTCAGGCATCCACAGCTAGCGGCTAACAGCTAGCAGCTAGTGGCTAACAGTGTGTGTGTGTTTACAGTGACCACAGAACAACGTGGTGTCAGAACCTCGTCCTCCATCAAAGCTGAGGAACATCAGTTCAACAAGACAGAACAAGAGGAACTGAACCCAGATCAGTCACTGCTGCTGCTGCTGCCAGAGGGATTGTGGGTAAAAGATAAAGGCAACAACAACAGAGTCAGTCAGTCTGAGTCAAAGTCAGGCAGTGTGTGTGTGTGTGTGTGTGTGTGTGTGTTTACAGTCTGCGGCCCGGCGCTGCTGACACGTTGACCCTTTGTTTGGCTTTAAATCTCTGAGCGGAGCCGAGGAACGCAGCCTCGTTCATCATCTGCTCCGTTAGCGTGCACACACGGCCGACAGACAACAAACTGCCACAGATCAGGGGTGTGTGAGCGAGCTGGGCCGCGTCAGACGCCACAGCTGTGTTTGTGGACACGTGCGCGTGAACACAAATTAAATTCACGCAGTGAGTCGAAAGCTTTTCACGCCTCCGTCCTCTTGAGTAAAGAGATAAGCAGCCGACAGTGTTGGGATGTAGAGAAGAGACGAGAGAGGAGCCGGGGGAGATCACTCTCCAAATCCTCCCATAATCCTCTGCTGCTGCTTTCTTTAAGCTGTAATTATGAATTAGATACAAAGGAGAACAGGACCACCACACATAGATAACAAGGCTACGTGTTAGCAACAAAATGATCAGAAGTTAGCTTCAACCTGGCTCAAAGTCTGTCATCGGTAAACCAGCCACCAGAGGGCAGCACAGCATGAGCGACTACGACTGTTGAAGCTAGCAGTCGGTTAGCTAATGGTAATACACTGAGGTCAAAGGTTAAACTAGAAGGTTGGGTTAAAGAAGAATTAAATGTGTTTTAATTACAGTTCCACCTCCGTCCTCCAGGAGGATGATGAGACAGAAAACTGACAAAGAGGAGACTAACAGCAGAGAGATCAGGCTCCAAATCTCCCATAATCCCCTGCTGCGGCTGCTTCATTCTCTCAGCTGTAATTATCAGTCCCATACAACGACCACGGTCACGTCAGGGAAACTTCAACGCTGCTGCCGAGACTGGAGCAGCAGTAACATCGGTAACAGTTACATCAGTAACAGTCACAGCAACAACAGTCACAGTCACAGTAACAGTCACAGTAACATCAGGCACAGTAACATCAGTAACAATCACAGTCACATCAGTAACAGTAACAGTCACATCAGTAACAGTCACAGTCACATCAGTAACAGTAACAGTCACAGTAACATCAGTAGCAGTCACAGTAACAGTCACATCAGTAACAGTAACAGTCACATCAGTAACAGTAACAGTCACAGTAACATCAGTCACAGTCACAGCAACATCAGTAACAGTCACAGTCACATCAGTAACAGTAACAGTCACAGTAACAGTCACAGGAACATCAGTAACAATCACAGTCACATCAGTAACAGTCACAGTAACAGTCACATCAGTAACAGTAACAGTCACATCAGTAACAGTCACAGTACCAGTCACAGTAACATCAGTAACAATCACAGTCACATCAGTAAAAGTAACAGTCACAGTAACAGTAACATCCCTTCTTCCCCAAAAACCTCATCTTTGTTTCAGTGGAACCTTACAACACAGATCAGTTCATCTGTGTTAGAGGACGTGCAGAGGTCACAGACACACACAGACACACACAGACAGAGACAGACTGGATTAACGAGGACTGCCTCTCTGCTGGATTAGTCTAGAACTCACAGGTCAGTGGTTCGGTGCTGAAACAGTTGTTCACTTCATTAGTTCCAGAGGTGGAGGACAGGAATCAAACCCTCTGCACTTACATAATGAAATGACCTGGAGTCCAGACCTTCAGACTCAGGTACTGTACCGTCAGTCAGACGACACCTGTCAGTGAGCTATAACAGTCAGTGACTCATCGTCTGTTCTGGCCTCTGATTGGTCACATTACTCCGGCTCAGTCT